TTTCTTAAATAGTTTTGTATTTAGAAATGTTTAAAGCTAAGAGCTATTTCAATTTCCATGTTATATTTTCCAAAATGATAAAAATACTACCCTTCATTTTAGTAAAACTACAAATGAGGATGGTAGTACTGTCTTCTCATTAATCATGTATCTGACCGCAGGCTTACTCAACCTACTTGACTTAATGTCGATGTTTTAAAAGACTTGATTTTTCCCCCTACTTTATAAAAGATTCTCCTCATTATTCAGTATAATTTTTAAAAATCTAGTTGCTGACTGATACCTATTTTAAATTTAAAACTCCATTTTAGAGATACCACAATTTTAAATCTAAACTCCTAGAATAAAAAAATTACAGAATTTCTTCCTAGTAATAAAAAGGAAAAAAAATATTAACTAGTTCCAATCACTTAGATTTCTATATTATTACTAACATTAAAATGGTTAAGATACAACCAGGCATGGTGGTACATGCCTTTAAGCCTAGCAATCCAGAGGTAGAGGCAAGCTGATCTCTATGAGATCTAGTCCAGCCTGGTCTATATAGCAAGTTCCAGACTGGGGCTAAAGGGACACCCTGTCTTAAAAAACAAAAAACAAAAAAACCCCAAAAAACAACAACAAAAGAGCACTACTACTACCACCACCAAAAAAAAAAAAAAAAAAAAAAAAAAAAACATTTCCGTTCACTGCACCCACATGGTGGCTCATAACCACCAGTAACTCCAGTTCCAGGTAATCCGATGCCTTCTGGTGTCCTCCACAGGCACTGCACAAATATGGTACAGATACATAAATGCAGGCAAAACACTCACATAAAATAGATCTTTAAAATTTTTGTTAAGATACAACAAATTAAAGGCTCTAAAAAGAGGGAAATGAAATAATCAGATTTCCACTTACTGTAGAACAACTTTGACTGTACTGACTCTGGCTAAGGATATCCAATGATACTGAGTTAGCACTTTTTATGGCAATAACATTCATGGTGTTTTTGTCTAAACTGACTATATGCAACATCAAAAGAGAACTCTCTAGAAAAACAGGAACTAAAAATTTTAGGACAAATCTACTAAAAATAATTTTTAAAGATATACCTTACATGCTGGGAGCATGTCTTTAATCCCAGTACTTGGGAGGTAGAGACAGGCAGATCTCTGTGAGTCCAGCCTGGTCTACACAGTGAGTTCCAGGTGGGCTGGGCTATGGGAGACCCTGTCTTTAAAGAAAAAAAAAAAGAAATACCTTAAAAAGAACTCATATTTATTTAAACACAGGACATAATAATGTTATTTCTAAAAGAAGAAACTTGTAACCTAAAAGACTACATCTTAAAATTTCATGTAACCCAATTAAATGAGTCTTCAAAGGGTCCCAATAATACAGCAAGAAAAAAATTTATGAAAATTTAAAATAAAAATAAAAATTTTATTATGTTTTTAATTTTATGTATGAGTGTTTTGCCTGCATGTATTTAAGTGCACCATGTGCATGCAATGCCCACACAGGCCAGAAGGGGGGGCGTGTTGGACTACCTCTGGATCTAGAGTTACAGACAGTTATTAGCTGCCATGTAAGTGCTGGAAATTGAACCTAGGTCCTCTGAAAGAGCAGTAAGTGTTCTTAACTTCTGACCCATCTCGTCAGGCTCTAAAAAAATTTTTTTAAATAAAAATAAAAAAATACTACCCCCAAAGCCTCAGGGAACATCACAGAGAAGGGTTAGAAAAAGCAGAAGATTGGGAGGAGGGCTGTGAAATGCTATCTCTTTAGACATGCCATGAACACTGCACTCATGAACTCACAGCAATGGTTACCTACACAAGACGTACAGAAGATCAAGCTAGTCAACATTCTAGCATGGGTAAGGGAGGGGCCCAGAAGGCCCCACCCCTAGCTGAGAAGCTATTGGCAATTGATGGCTGCTGGGGGAAGGGGAATCATTCATCTTCAGGGGTATGAGAGCTGGCAAGCAGCCCAGATCAGGTAGAGGGCCCCATACCCATGTGCATGCAGGCAACACTAAATGTACTCAGTGGGTTATTAAAAAGAGGTCATAAAGGTGGGAGGTGGACATTTTGAAGGGATGTCTGGGTACAGTGGGAGGTGGGTGCTGGGGGTGGATATGATCAATATACATTGTATACATACCTGAAATTGTCAAACAATATTCTTTAAAAACACTAAATAATACTCCTACTTTGCCAACGAACAGTAAATGGCTATTATTACAAAATAACTCTTATTTTCATTCCAGTACCTTTCTGATTGTAAAATAAGAAATAACATTTTATTATATGCACAAAATCTATGAAGCCCTGATTTCTCAAAAGTTTAGTCTCTTTTTTTCCCTGCTGCTAATAACATGGGATACATGTAAAAAGGTCAACTTTGTTGGGAAAGAATTTAAAATAATATTTATTGTATTATATTATCTGATTTCTTCTTTAATGTGATTACTACCCATTTGCTTCCCCAAACTGTAATCTCATATAAAATCAAAATAATAGAACAAATAAAATGTCACAAATAACGGTTATAGTAATGTGAACATTAAGAGTCAATCCTAAAATTAAAATTGGCTGTGCCATATAAGGTTATGGCTATAAGAGCAAACTGGCCAAAAGAAAACTAAAACAAATTATTCCAAATACCCCAAACATTAAATAAAGCTATTTCACAGAATATAAATGACTGTAGACACAGGTAACAACAGTCAGACTGGTTTAAAGATCATTATTTCTTTTTGTTTGTTAAAATGTCTGTTATTTGGGGGGTTGAAGAGATGGCTCAGCGGTTAAGAACACTGATTGTTCTTGCAGAAGACCCGGGTTTGAATCCCAGCATCCATATGGCAGCTAACAACTGTCTGTAACTCCAGTTCCAGGGGATCCGACGGCCTCTTCGGTCCTCTGTGGGTACTGCATGACACAGGTGTACTTACCTACATGCAGACAATACACTCATACACATAAAATAAAAATAATAAATAAAATATTTTTTAAATGTTTATTTTCATGTTACTTTTAATTCTTAAGGTTATATTATGCTCTTGACTATTTTATAATTTTTAAAATGTTTTTATTATTTTTATTTTATGTGTATGTGTGTATTGCCTGCATGTAGGTTAAGTGCACCCGTGTCCTGCAATGCCCACAGAGGACAGAAGAGACCATCAGATCCCCTGGAACTGGAGTTACAGACAGTTAGTAGGTGCCATGTGGGTGCTGGGATTCGAACCCGGGTCTTCTGCAAGAATAGCCAGTGTTCTTAACCACTGAGCCATCTTTCCCACCCGTATTTTACAATATTCTTAATATTCATATGTCACATATAAATATCAGATACAGAGGACAGAAAACAGAAAAACGTTCTGATCCTGATAGCTAACCATGTTCTATGATGCAGGGGCTTCTTTCTTAATGGCTGTTACAACTATCTCCCTCCCCTGAAAACTGCTTTCCTGCATACTCCTCACCTTTACTAGATGCACAGAATGAGTCATCCTCGTGGCATGGGATGTAAAACATATGGTTCCTATATGCACAAAATGTGATGCATGGCCAAGAGGAGGAACTGTTGAGTTGAAGTTCTCAGAGAAATGCCACACCTATGGTAAAGGTTCCACAAGGTGGCTGACTAACTAGAACATCATGACTGTAGAGAGTTCGAATTTTGCAGATACAAAGCCAAATGATCTCAGGCTACCTTTATTTATTCGATTGTGTCTGTGTCTGTGTCTGTGTCTGTGTCTGACCTAATATCTTTCCAACTATCAGGTAAAACCTTTGGAATGTACAGATCATTAGCTTCCATCAACCTAAGGGCTAAGAATGTCATCAGATAACATCCTAAACCTATAGCAGAAGTCATCCGCCTGTCTATGTCACCATCACCACATGTCCCCCCACCTTTGCTATAAAATGTCTGTCTACCTGGTGTTTCCGATGCATGTGGAAAATGCCTTGATATATGTAAAAGTTCCTGTAAATGCTTCCACAATGAAACTTGTTATTGGCGGTAACCTGAATCCATGTTTACAGGCCACAGTCACTCATATTCAGCTCAGAATAAACTCTCTCTTGATTTTGAATTAAGAGCAGTGTTTTGCATCAACAAAGGTCAAATTTAAAGGGAAGAGAAGAAACTAGACAAGAGCTATGTGGCAATGCTATAGTATGTGGAGCTTAAGCAGAGCAGGGAGATACTTAAAAGGGCACTAAAAGGTAGAACTCGGGAATAAGTCTTTTCTCTGAGGCTTTTTAAGAAGTAGAGCGAGTGAGGTTACACTCAGCTCTGACATCCTTAGGCAGCCATACTTGTAGGGAAAAGGCCTCAGGGCATAAATTCTAGCCAAGGCTTGAAAGAGTAAGCATGGCCTTCCCTCTCTGTGGTATTCACCTTTAGAAGGTGGCTGTGTGAATGGAGAAACATATTAAAGAACCAACCGTGCTGCATCACTCAACTATTTCTTTTACTAATTCCTATGGGGAGAGACTAGCTTTAATGTCCCTTTCACCTTAGCCTGGCAAAATGTAGAAACTCAATAAATGCCTGTAAGAAAGAGTGAGTGTAAACTGAAAATAGAAACAACTGAGTGGAAAAGAAAGGGAATGGAAGAAAAGCAGCTATCAATAATTAACTGCAACATGGTTCTGAATGAAGGTGAATCTCTTCAAACTCAGGGCAGAGGTTCAAAGCAGGGGAACCTAGTTTAGAATGTCTTCTTCAGAAACTGGACTAGTTTTCTACTTCTGCATTGTCCTCCCTAGTCCAGCTGTAGGCTTGTCAATTCCCACTTCTCAATTTAGAATGCTAGGATCCTATTTTTTGGAAAAACATTACTGGCTTTATAGACTACCTACATTTTCCAACATCTCTAAAAGCACTATGATAAAGTAATTAAAAAATCATTAACTTAAATAAGGGTATAAAAAAGGGAAACCATCTTTGTAGTCATGTCAGTTTCTTAAGCAATTACTTTAGGAATAATTACCTACCTATTTTGACTCTCCCCCTTTCAGGACCTTCTCCCATTACTAGGATATTTGCTGGTTTCTAGAAACAAAAATAGAGCATTCAAATTACTACATTTATTCATTTGACATGCTCTAAAATGGCAAAATTTTTAAATATGAAAATATCATTTATGTATTTTCATTCAGTCTAAACTGACCAAATACTAAGCATCCTTTATAGTTAAAGCATTTGATATTCTTAAAGTTAGCACTAAACTTATATAAACATCCTTGCCAGGGAAAAACACCTTATTTTCAAAATTATATAATCACAAACTAATTAAAGCTATCATTTTTATTCATCCTGTATGTTAAAAACCTGAACAAATTATATACATTGTTTACTGCCCATAATATAATTTATGAATATAACTTTTTATTCAATTAAGTAAATCAAATGGAATATTCCTTGCTAGATATTTCTGAACTTCTCTAGGACCAACAACATATAGACAGACCCCATTGAAATTTATGTCAGTTATAACACATGCAAAAGTAAGAAATTTCAAACTTAATTTCAAGATGTAGGAAAAAAAAGCTAGTGTGTGTGTGTGTGTGTGTGTGTGTGTGTGCGCGCGCGCGCGCGCACGCGCACACGCATGTAAAGCTGCAAAAGTTTCAACCTTTCAAATCATTCTCATCTGCAGACATGAGGAAACACAACTTTTGACAATGGACTCAGGTGAGGAGAGGTAAGTCAGCTCCTCTGTAAACTCTAGAGAGAAAATTTATGTATTTTCAATTTACTGGATTCATTAACTCAGCAGATGCATATAGACATATCTTTGAGGGATAGCTTTCGGGACAGACCTTATCCCCTTCAAGAGTTCTTCCATTTTACTGATTTTTATTCTAAAATTTTCAATGAAAACACTAAGTATATACACACAAATACTTCAAAGGAAGAAGCGATTAGCAATTTCACTATCAAGAGAAATACTCACTGGGGGTGAGAGTAGGGGCAGGGTCCATTAGCCAGACCCTGACATCGAACAGGATCCGGCATGGCAGAGCAGAAGAAGAGCAAGGGCACTAGAGGTTTTTCACCTATGAAGCTGTCTGAGTTGACAGACGGAGAAGGCTCATGCTGAACACTGAAATAATCTGACCCTTACACTACAGGCAGTGAGATCACAGAAAGAGACCGAAGTGGTGTGAAGTGACAAAGGGAGACAAAGAGAGGTACAGGGCTGAGAAGCATTTTAGAGGAGAAAGTTTATAAGACTCTATGATTGAGAGCAGACAAAGATTAAGAAAAACCATGACAAAGATTTCACCAAGATCTTGGCTTTCTTTATAAGTAACAAGAATAATGGTGCCTTTTACAGAAGTTGCAAAGTTATGAAAGATACCAGCTTAGGATGGGGTGTCACAAAAAGCAGGTGAGGGCACTGTGTTTGATAACATGAGATGTCTAAGCCAGTACTAGCCAAGAGAATGGGAATATGATAGTCTGGACTTACAGTCCTTGCCTGAAGAGTGTGATAACCAAATATGGGGCAGGAGTAGATCACCAGGGCAGGAGAGTAAAAGAGCAACAGACAAAAATGTTCAAAATTCAAGTTAAGCAACTATCAATCCAAGATCCATTATGCAATGTTATACTGCAGACGTTCATCAAATAAAGGCGGGAAAATGAAGATATTGATTCAAGGAGCTTAAATCTAGCACAAGAATTTAGACAACTTTTTAGACTACAAATATTATGAAAATACTAAAATAAAGAGGAGAAAACATCACTGAGAAACAGCAATTCTTTTCAGTGACATTGGGATTAAAAAGATGACTTAGTAAAGCTGATGAAGATTTTCATAAGCTTAAAAAATGGCTTTTCAGGGGCTGAAAAGGTGGCTCAGCAGCAGTTAAGAGCACTGGTTGCTCTTCAGTTCCCAGCAGCCACATGGTGGCTAACAACTGTCTATAACTCCGGTTCCAGGGAATCTGACACTCTCTTCTGACCTTTGAGGGAACCGCACAACATGGGTGCACTTACATGCAGGCAATACACACATACACACAAAACATAAATAATAAAACATTTTGAAAAAATGGCGGGGCGTAGTGGTGCATACCTTTAATCCCAGCACTTTGTGAGTTCGAGGCTAGTCTGGACTACATAGAGAGTTCCAGGCCAGCTGGGGCTACAGGGAGACCTTGTCTCAAAAATAAGAACAAAAAATAAGATGTAGCTTTTCACGTTCATAGAACCCTAATAGGTAAAGAAACGGTCATGAGAAAACACAGACATGGCACACTGAGTGTCTAAAAGCATTCTGATGTTATGAGGGCAGAGAATAGTCAGTAAGAAGGTTGGAAAACTATGCTGAACATAAATGTCATGTTCAAGAAACTGGAAGTATCCAGGAGAACACAATATCACATCTTTAGGAAAAAAAGTCTGACAGCAATACGAAGGCTGGATTGAAACAAATAAATGGACAACAAAGTGGAGACAAGTAGACAGGTTGGAAGATGGCTACTTTAGTTAAAAAAAAAATATGTAGCTCAGTGGGTAGCAAATGCCTTCAATCCCTGCACTCATGAGGGAGAGGCCGGTGGATCGCTATGGGATGGATCTAGTCTGGTTCTCACAGTGCCAAGCCAGCTGGGGCAACAGAGAGACCCTATCCAAAAATAAAAACAACAACAAAGTGTGATTTCTTTTAAGATGTGACAGAGGAACATAAATACATTTCAAGGTTCAACACATGGCCTTTTGTTTTCATTGCAGCATCCTCTCTACACTCATTCATTCAACATATACTAAGTAATGGAGACTGGCATGGACGGTAGAAAAAAATAGAAAAAAGTTTTGCTCTTGTAGAGCTTACATTTTAGTAGAAAGAGGAAAAAAAACAATAAATACCACACATTGGTATATACTGTGGATAAGTACAAAACAAGGAGATCGTCACATCTGATAGTATAGCTACGTGCACAGAGGTACTCTGCCCTACAGAGAGCGGCATGTTGCGTAAGAAAAATTTCTCAAGGCATTTCTCATCTTACAAGAGCTCAGGAATATCTACAATAACCTTTACCCTGATCCAAACAACATACTCTTATTGCTGGAGTTAAGGAAAGGCAGGATGAGTCTGAGAGCAGATGCTAATTATGCAGTTCAGTGGGGAAACTGAACCTTAGGTCATGAGCGAAGTGAAGAAGCAAAGTGACTCTACAACTATCAAGACCCTCAAAAGAGGCAAAATTCCCTATTGTGAGCCTCAGAGTAAAACAATGTATTTTCCAGCTAAAAGGCATCCATTTCCATATTGTATCAAAACCAAAATCTATTCACAAGCTATAGTAAGAGGCCATCAAAACATAAGGACTACAAAAGCTAAAATGATGCATAAAGATATACTAGGCAAACTGCTGAAGGAAAACTAAGCCAATACAGAAATGTCAACTGAAACGGCTTTGAAGACAAAAGCATTATTAGAGTCATAGTTGGCAAGTGTGATACAAGGTTCAATTTACTAGGAAGAAGGAAAATTCTTAAATTATGTAAATTCTCTCTCTCTCTCTCTCGTGTGTGTGTGTGTGTGTGTGTGTGTGTGTGTATACACATACACTTGATAATTAACTTCAAGGAGAAAAAAAAAGACTAGTGATAATATACTTTTCTTAATTATTGATATGTCAAACAGATAAAATATTTGTAAAAATGTAGTGTACCCAGCCAGGAGTGGTGGTGGCACGCCTTTAATCCCAGCACTCGGGAAGTAGAGACAGGCAGATCTCTGTGAATTCAAGGCCAGCCTGGTCTACATAGAAGGTTCCAGACTAGCTGAGGCTACAGGGAGACCCTGTCTCAAAAAGACCAAAAAAAAAAAAGTTGTGTACCCAAAGAATGCAATTAACAAGGATGAACTAATGGGTATATATACAGTATTACTCAATAATCAGTAAATACATATTTATTTTCCTCAGGCACATACGGAACATTTGCAAATTGATTATGTACTAACAGGTCTCAAGAAACTTCAAAGAGGGGACTGGAGAGATGGCTCAGTGATTAAAAACATTGGCTACTCTTTCAGAGGACCAGATTCAATTCCCAGCACCCACATGGCAGCTAACAACCATTCATAACTCCAGTTCCACAGGATCAGACTCCCTCTTCTGACCTCTGTAGGTGTTGTATGACACAGGTGCACTTACATACATGCAGGCAAAACATTCATACACACAAAATAAAAATAAACAAATAAAATTTTAAAGAGAAGGGACTGGAGAGATGGCCCAGCAGTTAACACTGGCTGTTCTTGCAGAGGAGCTGGGTTCAAATCCCAGCACCCACATAACAGCTACCAACTGTCTGTAACTCCAGTTCCAGGGGATCCGACAGCCTCTTCTGTCCTCCATGGGCACTGCATGACACAGGTCATGGGCACTTACCTACATGCAATGCAGGCAATACGTGCATATGCATACATATAAAATAAAAATATTTTTTAAAAACTAAAAAAAGAGCCAGGCATACTAGTGCATGCCACCTTTAGTCCCAGCACTTGGGAGGCAGAGGCAGGCAGATCTCTCTGAGTTTGAGGCCAGCCTGGTCTACATAACAAGTTCCAGGCCAGCTGGGGCTACAGGAAGTCCCTGTCTCAAAAAGAGCAAAAAATAGATGATAGAAAGAAAGAAAGAAAGAAAGAAAGAAAGAAAGAAAGAAAGAAAGAAAGAAAGAAAGAAAGAAAACATCAAAGAACTGTTATCAAAATAATTATATTTTCTGACCATAATATATTTAGGTCAAAAACCAATTGAGGGCTGGTGAGATGACTCAGTGATTAAGAGCACTTGCTGATCTTCCAGAGGGCCAAAGTTAAGTTCCCAGCACCCATCAGGTGGCTCACAACTACCTGCAACTCTATCTACACTCAAATAAAAATCTAATTATGAAAATATGAATTGAAGCATCATAGATTTGTTAAATTAAGAAATATTTCTAAAGTATACTACAGGGAAAATCTGTCTCAAAAATACCAAAAAATAAATAAATAAATAAAATAAAATAAACTGTATCAGGACTTGTGG